TTCCGGATTTCCGGGAAAGTGTGATGTGATATGACTGAAACATAAACTGATACTTTTCTTGCTAAATTAAAATTTTTAGTTGAATTGATAGAATAGGATGAAATAAATTGTTCATTAAGTTTGCGCATTCTTTGAAATATTCGTTTATTCATTTGTAGGTAAATGGAAAGCTCACATTAGGCGAAAATATCGCTGACAACGGTGGCATCAAACAATCATTTCGGGTAAACATTTTATTTCCGTCAAGCAAAGAGTAAATTTTCAATTAACAATTTACAATCAAACAAAATTGGCTCAATCTAATTACCTCAATCTTTCAACTCTTTTATCGCTAGAAACCCAACTCATGCAATGTCGCTGTAATGCGAAATGTTTTTTGTTTTTTTTTCGCTGGTTACAGGCATATAAAAAGTATATCGAACAAATCGGTCATCCGGAGCCTCGACTGCCGGGCATGTCAAATTTCACCCACGATCAAATATTTTTCCTCTCTTTCGCACAGGTGAACACGATTTAAATGTTGTGCAATTGAAATGCATTAGTTAGAACTTCTTTAAATTCGATTAATTGATTTTATACAAATTTCATCGCAGGATATGACAATTAAAGTCCCCGTAGTGATGGTAGCCTGAAAGGAAAGTAATAAGCCTGAAACTGTCTTCATCAGAAGTATTCGATAATGGAAAGAAGCGAAAATGCATTTCAGGTTTGGTGCAGTCATCAAACAAAAGAAGCTCAAATAAAGCAAGTGCTTACAAACGAGCACAGCCCAGCCAAGTATCGTGTCAATGGCCCACTTTCAAATTTACCTGAATTTAGCAAAGCTTTTAATTGCCCACTTGGAAGTTTGTTAAATCCTCAGAAGCGTTGTTCTGTTTGGTAATGTGGCGATTACCATTTATATTTTATATCATTTATCCATGTAACTGATATTATTATTTGCTTATTATCTTCGATAGTGATATGCAAATTAACTGTTATGCTTGTTTTCTTCCTTAACATTTTCTCAATAATAATTAGGACTTAGCATAGATTTAATCATTTAATCTTATATGAAAATATCACTTCATGAATAATCTCACTGATCAATCAGCAGAAAATGATAACAAGTGATTTCAATTAGAAGTAACATGCATGTGTCGAAAAAGTGAAATATACATCAGGATTTTTTGACGAATTTGAATGAGCGTTTCACTCGGCGTTCATTTAACGGATGTTGAAATCGACAATTTCTCGGAATAATCCGCCGTAATAATTCCAGCTAAATGTAAAAAAAAAAAAAAGGGGGTTTTTTTTTGTCGTTTACAAATAAGTAAGAAAGTGTTAACAATCATTTCGATGGAAAATTAAACACTTCATTACTTGTCAAATAACTTTAAAGCAGTTAATTATGAAATCAGTTGCGCTAAATTACCTTATAGTCTCTTTGCTCACAAAGTTATAATCAATATAGATTACCTGATTAAGACTTATAGTGTTAGGATGTTTCAGTACTGTCCAAATGACACATTCATGGAATGGTTTGGAAGTTAGTGACCCTTCGTACGCATAATACGACAACTTCACTAAAAATGTAATCATTAGATACATTCCTATTTTATGAATTGAATTCTAATTATAAGCAGTGAATTTTACCGTATTTCTGTATTGCGACAATTTATCGTTTACATGTTATTTCCGTTATTTGTGAACATATCATTTCCGTAATTTAAAACCTGCTTATTTTGAATTTACCTGGAAGTAATTTGAGTGGATCAAATTCTGGCTCCAGATCAACACGGCTCAAGTGGCCTAATGAACTGTTAATACCATCGATGATTGGTGAAAAATTTTCATTATCAACTGAGTCTTCCTGAATCAGTTTGGAAATTAACGCTTTGAATATTTCTAAAAATATCGCGCTTTTGTGCAAGAAAACGCGATTACGGAAGCAGAATTCTAAATCCAAGTAATCTAATTAATCTAGTCTACAGATTTCATTTCAAAACAAAGATTTTCTTTTTCAAGGCATATATCCTCACTTGCATCATTCCACCTGCTAATTAGTAGCAGTTGGTTAATATTGTTGAAGAAGAAGATGGTAACAGAAATAATCTAAACAAAAACAATAAAAGAGAACAACATGAACGGACTTGCAAGAAAATAGCCAATACTGCCAATCCATCAGATTTATTTAAGCATTCATTGAATCCGCCGTATTTTTTGTTCCAAAAAACAAAATGTAGCTGTAAAGACCAAAGGTCAGACCAGATGATGTCATTGATCAAAAAGTAAACTTCGAAAATTCATATTGTGTTAGTAATTGAAGTGTATACCAACCTCGGCGGAAAAGCCTTTCCCATTAATTAAGTGTTCACTACCGCAATCTTTTTCTGTTCCCCAATGAGCATGAAATTCCCAAAGTTTATAAACATCCGGAAGATGTGACGCAGTTAACTCTGAAATTGAAACATTCTCACTCACTTTTGTGAGGCAAAATGAAAAATTATTCAATGAATGATTCAGTTATACTTGCCCGCTTCGACATTTCATTCAGAAATTATCGTTTTAACTGTAAAATAGAATGAAATTTACCTGAAGTGCATCCTTCATCAGTTTTACATGAAAACCCTTCGCCATTAACCTGAAATAATGCAATAATAGTACTTCCAGCTATTCTAATTCTTTAATTAACAACAAAAAATCACACCTCAATTGTTTTCAGATCGCCGATCGTATAAAAAAATTTGAGCTTTGATGCTTTCAGCATTCTATCTTGATCGGTTATATCATTTGTGATGTTTATTGGACTTTGCTTCTTCCGTCCCTTAGTACCTCCTGAAAGCAGACAATATTTCAGATGCATAATTTCCAGATTGAAAGTAATTCCAGTATATTGGATTATTGCTGGCGATGACCTGGAAAAGTTAAAGTATTTAAAAAAGATCTCTCTACGTTTTCGAATTAATGATCATATACAGCAGATTTGATAGAAACTTGATCAAAAGATTAAATTAAACGTGAATTCATATAACAGAATATACGGGGTAACTTCTGGTGATAATGATTACAGTTGTACTTCTGGTATCAATGTTAATCCAAAATTCGCTTTACCATACCTATAACCGTCTTCCTTTTCTTGAGTGTTTTAGTAGAACCATTAGCTGCCATTGAGAGATTTTGTGGAATCTAAACTTTTAGAAAACTCCACCAGGCTTTCCAACACGTCCCTTTAGTCACCTTCTTCAACGGTCATTCTATTATCATTAGGGAATCTTTATTGCAAAAAACATTCGTCAAAACTTTATTTCCTGAATTTTGATAACATAACCGATTGTACAATAAATTCCAAAGCTACGTTGAATTTCAATTTCTGCCGTAGCATTAGTACTCTAACAGAGTTTTAATTAATTGAGTTCTCACGAATGAAACAAAGCAAATTTTTCGCTTTATTTCAAAAATGAAGAAAATTGAAAATGAATCAGGCAGAAGTGGGACTAAATACTGCCAGCAGTATTCGCAAATCTATGATGACATTACAATTGCTATGGTAATAAATTAGTTTAGTTTGATTATTTTTCATTCAAATGCTAAAAAATTTTTTTAATTGACTTTGTATTTCTGTTTTTCTCGGAGAAAACAAATTAAACCATTCTTTAGAAACAACTTTTGGGTGGCAAGAATTGTTTACAGCAGAAAACATCAGTGGCACGAATTCAAATAGGGTTTTATCTATAATTTATATTAAGCCTATAGTTATCCTGGTAATAACTGTTCTCTGGAATGTTTTATTCCTGACGTAACTATGGTTAGTTTCAATTCACTAAAATGAAGCTTGTGGCATGGCTTATCAGAACATGCTGCTCTTTACGATTAATGTAGTTAATCAGTCTCTCTAATGTCTTAAATCTTATGCTTTCATGCTTC